CCCGGTCTCCCTTGGGGCTGCCACCATCGCCCGCCTCGGCCCCCCCACCTACTGCGACCTTACCGGGGGTTGGCGGTCCACGTGTGTGTCAGCTTTGTGGCCGCAATGGGCACTGGGCCTCCAAGTGTCATAAGCGCTTCCAGCGAAGCTTCCTTGGTCTTGGCAATGACGGCAAAGATACACGCAACAATGCCCGTCAGGTCGCCATGGCTGATCGTCCCGCGCCGCATAAGCAACAGGGACACACTCAGTCCTACTCCATCGATCCACACTGGTACATGGACTCTGGGGCGACAGAGCATCTAACCAGCGAGATGGGGAAGCTTCACACTCGTGAACCCTATCATGGCTCCGACAAGATCCACACCGCCAATGGAGTAGGTATGCACATCTCTCATATTGGTCAAGCATCTCTTCTCACTAGACATGCCAATAGGAGTCTTCAGCTTCGCAATGTTCTTCGAGTTCCATCTGTGACCCGTAATCTTCTTTCAGTTCCTAAACTCACACGTGATAATAATGTGCTTTGTGAATTTCACCCTTTTGATCTTTTTATTAAGGATCGGGGCACGAGGGACATTCTTCTTAGTGGGCGGTTGTGCCAGGGCCTCTACCGTCTGGAGCATCCTGGTGTCGCTCGTGTTTTCAGTGGAGTTCGGGTCTCTCCGTCACAGTGGCATGCTCGTCTTGGTCACCCGGCCACACCTATTGTCCGTCATATTTTGCGTCGTCATGAGCTTCCTAGTTTGTCTAGTCATAAAGATGTAGCAGTGTGTGATGCTTGTCAGCAGGGGAAGAGTCATCAACTTCCTTTTTCGGAGTTCAGTCGTGAGGTGAAACATCCTTTAGAACTTGTGTTTTCAGATGTATGGGGTCCTGCTCAGACTTCTGTCAGTGGTCATAATTACTATATCAGTTTCGTTGATGCTTATAGTCGCTTTACCTGGCTTTACCTTATTAAACGCAAATCTGATGTGTTTGATATTTTTGTTCAGTTTCAAAAACATGTTGAACGTCTTCTCAAGCACAAAATTGTTCATGTCCAGTCAGACTGGGGGGGGGGGGGCGAGTATCGCAACCTCAACTCTTTCTTTCAGTCGCTTGGGATAGCTCATCGTTTAGCATGTCCACATACACATCAGCAGAATGGTTCAGTCGAACGTAAGCATCGTCATATTGTTGAAGCTGGTCTTACTCTTTTGGCCCATGCATCTGTTCCGTTTCGGTTTTGGAGTGATGCTTTCACCACTGCATGCTTTCTCATCAACCGTACTCCTACTCGTGTTTTAAACATGAAGACTCCCATTGAGGTTCTCCTTAATGAACAACCTGATTATACCTTTCTCAAGGTATTTGGGTGTGCTTGCTGGCCGCATCTTCGTCCATATAACAAGCGCAAGCTTGAGTTTTGTTCTAAGAAGTGTGTTTTTCTTGGCTATAGCTCTCTTCATAAAGGTTACAAATGTCTTCATGTTCCCACTAATCGTGTCTATATATCTCGGGACGTCGTGTTTGATGAGCATGTTTTTCCCTTTGCCAACCTTCCTGTGTCCACTGTAGAACCACCATCCCTGCATTCATCCTCTGTTGCTTCTGACCAATTTGATGATGTTGCATACTCTCCTTTGCTGTTACCTAACCATGGTGCAGGAACCGGACGTGGAGCTCGTTTGGAGCTGTTGGAGGATTCACCATCATCATCGTCGTCTTCTGGTGGGCACGTCGATCGCCCTATGTTGCATGGCATCGATTCGCGTGCCCATGCATGGTCACCCGACGAGCCCGTCGCGCCGAGCATCTCCACTGCTCGGTCCGTTTCGCTAGCGGCCGCCGAGTCGCCCGCGGCTCGGCCCGTCACGCCGTCTTCGCCTGTGGCTCGGCCCGTCACGCCGTCTTCGCCCGCGGCTCGGGTCCTCACGTCGCCTTCTTCAGCGGATCGGCCCGCGACACCGGCCGCGCCACGGCCCACTATGCCGAGCTCGCCATCGGCCCGGTCTATGATGCCGGAGTCGCCAGGTGCTTCGTCTGCTCTGCCGGTTTCGCTGGTGGGCCGGCCTTCTTCGCCAACCGAGTCCGAGGCTACCGTGACTGGCTCCTCGTCACCGGCTGACTCGTCAACGTCGCCGTCCTCCAGCCCGTTGCAGGCTGCTCCGTCGACCTCGGTGGTTCCCGTGTCCCGACCACATACACGCAGTCGCAGTGGCATTTTCAAACCTAAGGAACGTAAGGATGGTACGGTTGCTTGGTTGGCTGCTTGTTTGGCTGCTGCTGTTGCGGATCCATCTTCTGAGCCTCGCTCATATCAGGCTGCCCTGCGCATTCCACATTGGCGAGAGGCTATGGAGCAGGAGTTTCATGCTCTTCTTCGTAACAAGACATGGACTCTCGTTCCTCCACCACCATGGGTAAATGTTATTGACTCAAAATGGGTATTCAAAGTGAAGAAGCATTCGGATGGATCTATTGAGCGTTACAAAGCGCGACTTGTTGCTCGCGGTTTTCGGCAGCGTCATGGTCTTGACTATGAGGACACCTTCAGTCCTGTCGTCAAGCCTACCACTATTCGGCTTCTTCTCTCCATTGCTGTTTCTCGTGGTTGGTCACTTCGTCAACTTGATGTGCAGAATGCTTTTCTACATGGATTTTTGGAGGAAGAGGTTTATATGAAACAGCCGCCTGGTTTCTCTGATCCTGATCGTCCTGACTATATCTGTCGTCTTTCCAAAGCACTATATGGTTTGAAGCAAGCTCCTCGTGCCTGGCATGCCCGCCTTGCCTCTGCCCTTCGTGCTCATGGGTTTGTGCCGTCTACTGCTGACACTTCGTTATTTCTTCTACAGAAGCCAGAAGTCACTATGTATCTTTTGGTATATGTCGATGATATTATCCTTGTCAGCTCTTCTCAGTATGCTGCTGATGCTCTTGTCTGCTCTCTTGGTGCTGATTTTGCGGTCAAAGATCTTGGGAAGCTTCACTACTTTCTTGGAGTTGAGGTCACTTCTCGTGCTACTGGTCTTGTCCTTACGCAGAAGAAGTACTCCTTGGAGTTGTTACAAAGAGCTGGCATGCTGAAGTGCAAACCGACCACCACACCCATGTCGTCTGCCGACAAGATAACAGCTGTTGATGGTGAGCTTTTGTCTCCTGCGGATGCCACAGAGTACAGGAGCATTGTTGGTGGACTTCAGTACTTGACGATCACGAGACCAGATATCTCTTATGCTGTTAACAGGGTTTGTCAGTATCTTCAGGCTCCCAGAGATACTCATTGGGCTGATGTTAAACGCATTCTTCGTTATGTTCAGTTCACCCTGACATTTGGTATGCATATTCGACCGACTTCCTCTCGGGTCCTTTCGGCCTTCTCTGATGCAGATTGGGCTGGTAGCCCAGATGACAGGCGATCCACGGGGGGTTATGCAGTATTCTTTGGCTCTAATTTGATCGCCTGGAGTGCTCGGAAACAGGCTACTGTGTCACGTAGTAGTACTGAAGCTGAGTACAAGGCTGTGGCTAATGCTACTGCAGAGATTATTTGGGTGCAGTCTTTGCTTCAGGAGTTGGGTTTGTCTCAACCACAGCCTCCTATTCTTTGGTGTGATAACATCGGTGTTACATACCTTTCTGCAAATCCAGTATTTCATGCCCGAATGAAACACATTGAAGTTGACTATCACTTTGTACGGGAACGTGTATCACAGAAGCAACTCCAGATCAAGTTTATCTCATCTAAGGATCAACTTGCAGACATCTTTACTAAGCCTTTACCGCTGCCACAGTTTGAGGCTTGTAGGCGCAATCTTACCCTTCTCAGTTCTTTAGAAAGTGGCTAAGATTGAGGGAGGGTGTTAGACTATGTATAGCTTCTGTACCTATGTACGTATATGGTACATATTGTAACACAACCATTATATATAATGAGATAAGCCACCCCTAGAGGGTTGTGCTGGTTTCCCAAAACTTATTGTCTTACACTCTATGGCAGCACCGAGCGTGGCTGAGCTTCAAAGCAACACCGACGACATCCGGCGATGCTCCATTGAAGCTCCATGACAGCACCGCACGGCACGGCAAAGCTCCAATGCAACACTAACGGGCATCCGGCGAAGCTCCATGGCAGCACCACACGACGATGAGGGCTTCATTGCAGCACCAGTGGCCGGGGAGGAGGAGTTCTGCAGCACCGGTGGCGATGACTTCAATGCAGCACCGTCGGGCGGCGACGAGGGCTTCATCGCAGAACCGACGACCCGGCAGCGTCACGCCCCACCCGGCATGCAGCACTACCGAGTGGGTTCCAGGCTTGCAGCACGGCGAAAGTTGCAACGCAGCACGTCAGACACTCCGCCTCTGCGGCACCGGCGACACTCTACAGCACCGGCCGGCAGCGCCCCGCTGCATTGAAGTGGTTGGTCCTTCGCGGCACCACGCCGACTCTGTCATGAAGCATCCAGCGCCGACGGTCGGTTCGCCACAAAACACCATCCGGCTTGCCGGTCGGGTCGCCACAAAACAGCAGCTCCCGTAAAAAGCACCGGTGGGTGAACCTCCTTTACACGGCTCGTGGATTCCCTGCAGCATGAAGCACCAGCCAGGGGCGGTGGTTGGACGGGCCGGAGGAGCACCAGCTCATGGAAGGAGAGACGCTTGGGGATAAAGGAGAGAGAGAGAAAGGGGGAGCTCGCGGATGGGATCGAGCGCGAGGATGGGAGGCTGAGAAGATGAGGAAGGGAAAGGTAAGCGGTGTTCTGGTCCCGCTGGAACACATGGCACAAGATGAAGGCGACTTACAGGAGTGAGAAATCAATCGGTTGAAAATCCATCTTAACGAATCAGCAGTGCTCCTGACATGTTTTCTGGAAAAAAAATATATGAAATAACACCAATTTCTCATCTCTGAATGAATGGTTTTAAAACAAGCATTTATTATTTACATTGCTGCATGCTCGTTGGCACTTTTCAACTTCCGCAAACAGGGACTACCAGACACGAGGGAACGGTCACGTATACACTGCTGGGCACCCCTCACCAAATATACCTTTAGCAGTGGGGCAAGAAGCCAGGGGACATCCATCCAAGTCATTGCCCCACCAGTTCAAACTGATGTTCTCCAAGCCTAGGCACAGATAAATTAGCACGGCCATGAATGCCAAACCAGCATCTAGTGCACCTGAAAGCAGATAATTGTGTCGCTCCCACCAATCACGTCGGTATCTATAGACCACATAGCCTGACAAAAACCCAACAAATATCCATGTGATGTAGTTGACTGCAGTGGCGGGTGGCATCTCGCCGGTGGAACCAATCAACACGGGCATGTTGATGAGCAAGATCCAGTTCTGGCCTGGGAATGCCTTGTGTGCAAACCAGACGAGGAGTGGGGCAATGGCTCCCCCCAAGAAGAACCAGTTCACCGCCGAGTAAGTTCCTAAGTCCCCGAATATTCTGCGTGGGCTAATAAGACCCCATATGACAGATGCGTCGTAGAACACATGATCGGCAGGGCAGGTCCAAGGGCTGCCTGCTGGGAGGAGCTCGGTGTCGCAGATGTTGGGGATTGAGTCCAGGAGCCACCATGCCGTTCCAAGGTACACAAATGCCGCAATCAGAGTTCCCACCACCTGCCATGCATGTTTCAACAAGTTGCTTAGTTTTTTTTTTTTTGAAACAAGAAACAAGAGAAGCTGCTTAGTGACACAATATATACAACAGGGCTACTTGTGCAGAAGAACTGACAGAATTTATTTGAGTAAAAGGTTAATTACCTGAGCCATGAACATGGTCCTTGGGGAAATCTTCATGTAGTGGCCCAACTTAAAATCTTGCAGAAACGTCAGAGCTTGGCTCATGCTGATGTAGCCATATACCTTGAAGCACATATTTGCCACCGGTCTTCCTGGGTACAAGTACCCCATGATGTACTCTGTGATGATGTTCAATCCTGGAGTCTGCATATATAGAAGGAAAGAATGAAAAACAGTGAACTGGTAGTTGTATGGCATGATATGCAACTTGTCAGATTGCGTACCTGGTTCGTAGTTGCTGTGATAATTCCAGCTGGGAGGGTAAAGAAAAAGGCTATGGCACATGCAAGCAGCACACCCCGCCAGGGCAGCTGGAGTTGCTCGATGTGGTATTCACAAGCAAATACGGTGACGGCAATGTTAACAATAAGCATGCACATGAACCACCACTCAGGGACCTGCTTATATCTCCTCATAAGCTTTGTGTGCACATCCACCCTCTTCTCTTGGAAAGCCGATTTACTTAACTGCCAAATTTCACTGCGCACAAATAAAGCACCATGATTCTTAGCTGTTGCAGTACGTTGTACGGAGTACAATTCTGCGAAACTGACGGACAGTTCTTTTGCAGAGATTTAATTACCTTCCATGGAAGAGGAGGACATGGACGATCGTTGCGGTAAGGGATGCAAAACGGACACCATACGTGACAGCAAAGAAAGTGCTGAGGTACAGTGGACCATTCTTCTCGTAGGCCTTGGTGTCAAAATGGAACTGGGAGTCCACGATGCTCCTGATGTTGTACTTGTGCCCGGACTCGGTGAAGAGCCCATGAGAGAAGATGGGAAAGTTCCGAGCCTTGTACAAGTTGAACCAGTACCCGATGGGCATGATCACGTACATGATGATGAAGAATCCTGCGGCGACGTTGGCGGTGGCGAACCAGGGGCTGGCGAGAGGGCTCCCGAGGTAGGAGGAGACAGAGGCCCAGTCGAGGCCGATGGAGCCGATGCCGAGGCCGTAGAGGCCCGACCCGAGCTGCTGAGCGAGCACGGAGTTGGGGAAGACCCAGCAGATCCAGGAGAGGGAGGTGAGCATCTGGAACAGGTAGCCGGGGAAGATGTAGTAGACGAAGCTGCAGACGAAGGCCACAAGGAAGAACTGGCTGCGCGTGAAGCCGCCTTTGCTCCGCACCTCCTTCTCGTGGAGCGCCCTGCTCGGAATTCCCAGGGGTCATTTCAGAGAATGATTCCAATCCGAAGTCCGTTCTAGTTTAGAATATACTTCCTCCGTCCCCAAATATAAGTCTTTTTAGAGAATTTAACAAGTGAGAGCAAAATAAATGAATCTATACTCTAAAATATGTCTACATACATCAGTATGTTGTAGTCCATTTCAAATGTCTAAAAAGACTTCACTTACTGCTCAGTTTTTGGCCGCATGCATCGATTGATGCAGAGGCTGGAGGTAATCCTCCTTTTTCAAAAAAAAAATGAGCGTCTTTCGACCTTAAAACTTTGTTACGTTTTTATTTAATAATATGGCTGCATGCATCGATTGATGCAGAGGCCGGGGGTCATCCTTCTTTTCCAAAAAGAAAATGTCTAAAAAGACTTATATTTAGAAATGGAGGGATAGATAATACAAAGCCTATTTTATTGCCATGCTCACGAAAAGAAAACTGGTTGACAGCAATTTTACGCTTTCTGAATCTTCGGTAGTTTTTTCAGCATGCTTGAACTGATCTTCACCTTACTCTTGTTGTGCCTGTTAATTAGCTCGCCGTCTTTCCTTGAGAGACAAATGGAATGACAGGTGGATTGGAAGCACTCGCCTGCAAATAGCCTTAGCCATGGAGGTCATTGCTAGGCTGGATGCCGCCTCGGATAAGAGGCCGTTGGAGGATCAGGAGCACGTTTTTCGCAAGCTGCTCAAAAGGAAATTGCTTGGGTTGTGCTCGCTGGAGAGGACCATTGCAAGGCAGCGATCGCGTTTACTGCAGCTGAGGGAAGGAGAGGCCAACACTAAATACTTCCAGCGACATGCGAGGCACAGACAATGCAAGAACATCATCACGGCTATCCAGGCCAACGGGGTAACACACACGGGTCAGAAGGATATAGCTAAAGCGGTTGATGACTATTATGGGCGGCTATTTGGCTCGACGAGAGCAAGGGAGATGACGATCAATCTTGATGTGCTGGATCTGCCGTCCCATGATCTTCAGCGGCTGGAGGCGCAATTTGAGGAGGAGGAAGTTTTCAACATCATTAAGTCAATGCCTCTCGACAAGGCGCCTAGCCCGGACGGGTTCACCGGGCGTTTCTTTGCCACTTGCTGGCATGTGATCAAAGACGATTTCATGAGGGCGCTGGACCACTTCCATAGAGGAGATATGAGGGGTATGGCCGCTATCAACAAAGCCATTGTCACTTTGCTACCTAAGAAGCCAGGAGCGGTGGATATAAAGGACTTCAGGCCGATCAGCCTAGTCAGTGGAGCGGTGGATATAAACGACTTCAGGCCGATCAACCTAGTCAGAGTGGGCTACAAGGTTGGCGGAGGAACTACCAAAGCTAGTGGGGCACCACCAAAGTGCGTTTGTTAAGGGGCGATCACTGCACGACAACTATATGCTAGTCCAGTGCACTGCCCGGAGGTTGCATGCGCTTCGGAGGCCAACGGTTATGCTCAAGCTCGACATTACCAAGGCGTTTGACACTTTGCAATGGCCGTTTGTGCTTGAGGTTCTGAGGAGAATGGGTTTTGGTGAGAAATGGTTGACGAGGATCTGTGGCCTTTTGGCGACGTCGTCAACTAGGATTATGGTCAATGGCACCCCTGGTAAACCGATTCTGGCATGTCAAGGCCTTCGACAAGGGGACCCGATGTCCCTAATGTTGTTCATCCTTTGCATGGAGCCACTACGGGCACTTTTTGAGTATGCGACTACGAAGGGGTTCCTCTCCCACCTAGCCAGATCGGGCTTGCGGGAGCGAACGTCAATGTTTGCGGACGATGTGGTTCTATTCTTCAAGCCAACAACTTTGGAAGCAACTACTTGTGCTGCACTCTTGAACATCTTCGGACATGCGTCGGGATTGAGGGTCAACATGAGCAAGAGCGCAATCTGGCCGATCCGCTGCTCTCAAGAGGAGGTGGAGGAGACCACGACCATTCTGGGATGCACCACTTCGGCATTCCCTTGCACCTACTTGGGCCTTCCCTTGACGATCCGAAAGCAATCGGCGACCCAGTTCCAGGGTCTCGTGGACAAAGTTCGAAACTCCTTGCCACTGTGGAAAGCGGCTCTTCTACCGAAGAGTGGGCGGTTGCTCTTGATCCAATCGGTACTTTGTGCCATGCCCGTTCTTTCCATGCTTGCGCTATCTCTACCTGCCAAAACACTCACCGCGCTTGTCAAGATTTGTCGAGGCTTCTTGTGGTCTGGCAAAAGCGAAGCTAATGGTGGGAACCGCTCGATGGCCTGGGATGAGGTGTGTGCGCCCAAGTGGGCAGGCGGTCTAGGCTTGCCAGACTTGAGGTGGTTCAACAAGGCGCTCCAGGCCCGTTGGCCATGGTTGTGGAAGGTGGACAGGGACAGAGCCTGGGCGGAGTTCTCAATATTGGTGCCACAAGAATCCCATGCTCTGGTCCAGGCCGCAGCTCATACGACGGTGGCGAACGGTGCCAAGGCCTTATTTTGGGAGGACCGTTGGGTCAGCGGAGCGAGAATTAGCGAGATTGCACCGGCTCTATATGCCAGAGTACCACCACGCATCAGAAGGAAGAAGGTGGTCAAGGAGGCTCTAGCTAACGGTAGTTGGGCTTTAGATGTTGGCCCAAACCTGACGTGGGATGAGCTTCAGGAGTTCCTATTTGTTTGGTCACAGCTTGAGACGGTGCAACTGGCTGATGAGGTGGAAGACACAGTCAAATGGGTCTGGGAGAGCAACGGTACCTTCTCGGTGAAATCTGCGTATGAGGCCAGATTCTTGGGAAGGGAAGTCTCGCCGACGGCAGCGTTTACATGGAAATCCAAAGCACCGTTAAGATGCCGCTTCTTCTCTTGGTTGGCTATCAGGAACCGCTGTTGGACCTCCGACTAGCTAGCGCGTAGAGGGTTACCTCATCAGGATGCCTGTCCGCTCTGCAGCCAGCATGACGAAACCATGCAACATCTGCTCATCAACTGTATGTTCGCAAAACAGGTTTGGCATTGGTGCACCACGCTCAAGGGACGGTTAGACTTCCTTCCGCTACCAGGTGAGACCCTGGTTGGCTGGCGTGAGAGACATGATACTAGTGGTCTGCACCGCAAGTCAACTAGGGCTCTATGCATACTAGGAATGTGGGCACTCTGGATACACAGGAACGATATAGTCTTCAATGGCACGACCCCATCGCTGCCTTGGGTTACGAATATGCTCAGGGAGGAAGGTGCGTCCTGGACGAAGGCGGGACTGATAGAGGAGGGCATGTGGCCGACAGAGTGGGCAGAAACTTGAGTAGTTGTAACGCATATCTGTATTCAGTAGGCCAGTTGAAAGCTAGCATATAAATAACGACTAAGCTCCCGACCCCACTCTCTTCTTAAATGAGTGATACGCACTCTCGTGCGTATTTGAGAAAAAAAACAAATGGAATGAAATTTCTCTTCAGTTTTGTAGTCCCTCTGTAAAGAAATAGAAAAACGTTTAGATCACTAAAGTAGTGATCTAAACACTGTTATATTTCTTTATAGAGGGAGCACATTGCTATCTTACTGAAGAGAAAGACATCTGTGCATGATCATTTCTCTCCTACCATCCTGCGGCGCATGTCGATTAGCTCAGTGTCTTTCTCCTTGGAACTGACACAGGAGATGAAATTCCTCTTCTATTTTGTTTGTACTACATTTTTATGTTGCTGAAAGGATCAAAGGAAGATATCAATGTTACATGATCATTAGCCGTCTCATCAGCCAGCAAGTTCTTTCAGCGTTCAAATGTGGGAGTTGGTTGCCTCTATGGATGGCTGTTATTCTACATTCTACTGCCATTGAGAGATTAAAACTGGTTGGATATAACTGAAGCCAGCTGCTGGGAAGGCTGCAGATCCAGCTTGGTCAATCGATATGGTTTCTTTTCATCGATTTTGTTTTCGTCATTTCTTCGGATTCTTCTCGAGGGCCCTGTCGTTATGAGTGCTCCTCGTATCTTTTCATTGATTTCATTTTGTTAACGGGAGGCAGACGAGCCTACATTTTCGCCCTTGATTTCATGATATGGGTAGGCAGAGCTTGGGAAAAAAAAAACAAGGTTGTTTGCAAATTAAATCCAGTTGTCAGCTTGGTCAAACGAACTTGATCTCACTATCTCTGATATTTTTGTGTTGGCTGCTGGTTTGGTCCTGTCATTACCAGTGCTCCTCATTTCTTTTCATCAATTTCTTTTTCTTAATTAGAGGCAGATCGGCCAACAATTTTTTGTGGCCCTTGATTTCACGATGATCTGGTTGTTGCAAGCCAATGCCAGATCTGACGTGTCATGATCCATGACAGTTAGCTAAGTGATTAAGTGATTAAGATGTGTAATGCAAGTAGTAATAAGTACTGTAATGAGTAGTGGTTGTAAGCAACTAGTACTATACTAATCATGTTGCTTGCCGGAGGGAGATGGGAAGAAGCATGTGTATATATGTACCTGAAGAGTGAGACCTGCACGAGGTTGGACGGCCACCACATAGCCGCCGGCTCCACCAGGTACCGCCGGAAAATCCCCGCCCACCCGAACCCGAGCACCTGGGTGGTGAGCACCACGAGGAGGGAGACAAAGAAGGTGAGGTTCTTGCCGTAGAAGATGCGGACGGCGGTGACGACGTAGATGGCGGTGCCGGCGCCGGCGTTGGCGAATATGGTGATGAGCACGTGCTCCTTCACGTTGAACGGCCCCGGGTTGAGGGTGAACTCGTACGGCCTGCCGCGGAAGAAGGCGCGCTCGGGGAGCGCCGCGGCCATGAGGCGGCCGAGCGGCACCACGGCGATCTGGGTCGAGATGGCGGTGATGGTGAGCGGCTCCTTGCGGTACCAGAAGAACTGGTTGAGGAAGGAGAGCACGGCGCAGGACGCCATGCCGAGGACCCACATCCTGAAGGTGAGCACGGGCGTGTCCGGGTCGTCGCCCACGGGCACCGTCAGCGCCACCTGCTCGATCGGCGAGTTCTCCTCCTCCTCCTCATCGGGCGACGTCGACGGCACTGGATGGAGAGGACAGACCGGTTAAATGGCCAGCAGCAGGAGCCGGAGCAGAGGTGTACCGTATACGTGTGCGTCGAGGTGATACCGTCGCCATGGCCGCGGTGCCAGAGCTCCTCCTCCTCTGCTTCTCGGTGCATGGCGCACAAGTTACCTTGCTGTCGCATAATCCCAGCTTGCTCAGCGCCTCAGCCCCTCAATTCCCAACGCCGCCAGCCAGCGCTGCTCATCCTCTCCATAAGGCAGCGCAGCGCAGCGCAAGTACGGAAATCCCAAAGATTAAGCGCCTCAGTTGGTAGGTGCGGTCCTTTTCTTTTTTGGAAAGAATGAGCGATCTTAGCGTGTTTTTCCTTTTATTACCAGATCTCAGTGTAGGTGATTAAAAGAAACCAGATCCCAGCGTGCTTTTTTTCCTTTTTTCAGCGGTTGATCCCAGCGAGTACGTACTTTGGGGGGAGCGCCTATACGGCGCAGCATGCGCCAGGGTGCGGACGCGCGCGCACCCGCCGCTGTACCCGCGCGCTCATTTTGGACCGGCCCATGAACGGCACCGGGAAGCATCCGCGCGCCCCTTTTTTTTCTCTTGTATTGTTTTTTTCTCTTTATAGTAAATAATACCGAGTTACTCAAAAAAAAAGGTGAATAATTCCAAATTTCAAAAACTATCCAAAATTCAAAAAATGTGAATTTGAAAACAGTTCACGGAGCCAAAAAATGTCAGTGGATCTGAATAATGTTCACAAATTTGAAAATTATTCCTGATTTCAATTTGTCTTCCTTATTTCAAGAAATGCTACAGAATTTGAGTACTGATGAACATTTTTCTAATTTGGTGAAAAATTTAAAAATTATTGTGAACAATTTTGCTTATGATAAACTTTTTTCAGTTAGATGATTTTTTTTGAAAAAATGGTGAACAAAATTTGAATTTGATGAACATTTTCCGAAATTGGTGAACAAATTTCGAATTTGAAGAACACTTTTTAAGATGAAAAAATTTGAATACGACGAACAAATTTTGAATTGGATGAACATTTTTTGAATTTGATGAACACAATGTAAATACAATGAACATTTTTCGAATTCGATGAACAAAAAATGTTCGTAGATTTAAAAAAAGAAAATTCACAAAAAATAGTGAAAAAGTAAAGAAGAAAAAAGATAACAGAAAATATAAAACAAAAATTAAAATAAAAAAAGAGTATTGCGAAATTTGTTCATCATTTGAACTTTTTTGAACATTATTGTGAACATTTTTTCAGTTAGATGCTTTTTTTAAAAAAAAACATGGTGAACAAATTTTTTATTTGATGGACAAATTTTGAATTTGGTTAACATTTTTTTTAAATCAGCGAACAAATTTCGAATTTTATGAATATTTTTCTCAATGATGAACAAATTTCGAATTCGATGAAATTTTTTTGAATACAATAAACATTTTTGGAAATCGATTAATATTTTTTTAGTTCGATGAACAAAATTTAAATTCAATGATTATTTTTTCAATTCGATGAACAAAAAAATGTTCGTGGATTTGAAAAGAGAATTCGTAGAAAAGATGAAAAAGTAAAGAAGAAAAGAAAAACAAAAAAAGAAAAGGAAAAACGCAAGGAAAATATAGAAAGGAAATAAAATGAAAAACCAATAGATGAAAAACAAAACCAGAAAAAAAAACCGGTTCAGCGAAGGTCCTAGAAGCTTCCCAAAACCGGTTGAGGGTGAGTCCCGAATTTAATGGGCCAGCCCGTAGGAATTCCAGCGCTCGATGTGGAATTGTCGATAGCTGGCGACCTACGCCGAAATCCCTAGTTAAGGAGTACTCCTTGCGGAGATCAGTCCAACCTCCCCAGGTTGCGACAAGTGGTGCGCTGCATATGCGCCACTTGTCGCAATCTGAAAGTTTTCCCTTTTTTCGTAGATCCATTTATTTAAAACGTTCTATCTCTTAAACCGTGCGTCCAAATCTCGAACCGCTTTTGCCGTTGGATTCCTCGCGTCGAGATCTTCAAAACTAGATCCCATGTTGATAGGTTTTGACGAACTTTTTTTCATGAAAAAACTGGATGAAAAAACTGAACCGGGAGCACGGGTTTTTTCCCTTTTCGAAAAAGGCACGCCCATGCCTGTGACGAAATCACAACCGAGCCTCTCGCAGAAGCAAAACCGTGCCTCTCACGAAAGAAAAAAAATAGAAAACGTGTTTTTTTCTGTTTCCGAGGAGGCACGACCGTGACTCTCGTGAAAGCACAACCGTGCCTCTCGCGGAACCAAAAAAGTACCTCTCGCGAAAGAAAAAAGAACAGAAAACTTGTTTTTTTCGTTTCCAAAAGGCACGGCCGTGACTCTCGCGAAAGCACAACCGTGCCTCTTGCAGAAGCAAAACCGTGCCCCTCGCGAAAGGAAAAAAAACAAAAAACACGTTTTTTCCCGTTTCCAAGAGGCACGGCCGTGACTCTCGCTAAAGGACAACCGTGCCTCTCGCGGAAACAAAATCGTGACTCTCCTGAAAGGAAAAACGTGTTTTTTTTGCATAAAAAAATGGTCGAAAAGCTAGGGAAGACCGTTGGAAAACCAAAACATCGAAAAAAACCATTTAAAAAACCAAAAAGGAGTGCGGAAAAATAAAAAAAATCCGGAGGGAGCACCTAGAGCGCGACACGTGGGAAATCGCTGAGAGCGCGCCAAGTGGCATTGATCGTTGTGAGGCTTCCGAAGGAGCGCTCATTAGTTAGTTGCTCCCATCAATGAAATCACTAGTTAATAGCTGGCGACCTACGCGCCGCATAGGAATTGCCTACTTTGGGTCAGCCCGGTACATAGAAACACGGCAAAACCTATTTGACGCTCGTTAGCGTCAAAAGGTCGCGCTTTCGCTGAGGGGAGCCACCGGTCGGGCCGGCCCATGTACGGGCTTCGCGTTTTTTCCGTTAGCTATAGCTTCCTTCGCTGTTTCCTGCGTTCTTTTTTTCGTTTTTTTCAATGTTTGTCCGGTTTTCAGTGGTTTTGTTCTGATTTTTTGGTTCATTTTTCCTTTCGCCTTTTTCTTTTTCTTTTAATTTTATTTCTTCTTCTCTTTACTGTGTGTTATATAAAAAGTTCACCTCCTATTACGAAAATGTTCATCGTATATTAAATAAATGGTTCGCCATACATTATGAAAATGTTCAATATGCATTCCGAAAATGTTCATCGTGTATTACAAAAATGTTCATCGTACATTTAACAAAATGTTCACGACATATTAATAAAATGTTCACTGTATACTTAAAAAATGTTCAGCGTATATCACACAAATGTTCAATGCCTATATCACACAAATGTTCAGTGCCTATTTAGAAATATTTCATTATATATTTAAAATTGTTCATTGTATATTAAAAAGATGTTCAATGGTTGAATTTATTTGTTTTTTTATCTGTCGCTGCGCTTAGTTCTTAAACATTCTCGCACCGAATTAATCACTAGTATTGGTGAGCTCAACTGGTAAAGAAGACATGCAGTCTATCGTTGGTCGCGTGTTCGATTCCTTGACTTTTTTTTTGAGGGATTTCGATTCCTCGACTGAGCATACTTTTTTGCTAATTTAGTTGCAGCCCGCAGTGAAGCCACCGAATGGGCCGGCCCAATTCGATGCACGTCCTGCGCGAAAGCTCCTCCTGTTGACGCACGCGAGCGTCAGCTAGGAGCACTCATAGAAACACCTAGGTTGGGGGGACTCCTTTGCGTCGGGCGGGCCGGGCCTGAAGACTTTTGTGCGTGAGCGTGTCTGTATCGTGCCAAGCAGGTTCATACGCTCCCGCCAGCTCTCCTCCAAGGAAGGTATCTCACGACATGAAGGATCGATGTAGCCTGCGTAATCAAATTATGTGCAAACGAAACAGCAACATGCACTCGTCTCTTTACTAGAAACAAGAGCATAATTATTGGCTTATCATGGTCATACTTGTCTAACCTAACCTGGACCTGTACATCCACATGGACTGTATAATGGCCTAGAAATCATATCATTAAGCAACTTGTTTTCCTGTGTGATCTGAGGATGTATTTTCGCTCATCCATGTAGGAAATAAGCAATTGCATCACATAAAGATGGACGTTGCTGCGGTTTTGATATCTTGAACCATCTCATCTTCTGCTTGATGCATTTTCTATTCATAGTACTCCCTCTATTTACTTATACAAGACCACTACGGAAAATACATTTTGCTTCTATACAAAGCCACCAACAATAATCGAGACAAAAGTTAATGATGTTTGTCAAATTAGTACTAGTCTATTTAATACTTACATGCATGCAGTCATAATGACACTCCAGTCATAATATGGTTGCATGCATCGGTCCAGATGCAGAGGCCGGGGTACATCCTCCTTTTTTAAAAATAATGACACTCCAATCATCTTTCTATCCCCTCCTTTTTTTGAAAAGGAGGTTATCCCTCGGCCTCTGCATTGGAAAGATGCATATGACCACTTTATTAGAGCAAGTTCAAACAAAACAAATAGTCTGATCTGCAAACGGCTCACAGAAGGGGCGAAATAAAAAAAAGAACAACTCAAAGCCACAACCGGCCGGACGAAAGGACACTAAGGACCTGTCCTATTATGCGACCGTCATTCAAACCGGTTGAATATAGCCCGTGCTACCATCTCCCACCGGTTGCACCCAGTAGCCAGCTGCTCCCTGGAACCCGTAGGAGTGAGTAACGACCATGTACGGATCCATGCCGTAGCCCTGAAGATAACCTGCAAGAAGTTAATAATAGATAGTCTGTTAAAAATCATAGTATTCCTGCAGTTTCATATAGCCCAAAGAAGTGTGCATATTTCAATCCGAATACTTGACGCAATATGAGGAAGCACTCCATTTAGCCACGTCCCAAACAACGCGTCAATGTTAATAGGAGGAATAATATTAAAGGCTATATGGACAGACCTCCAAAGTAAGTTTGCCAGAGGGCAATCAAGAAATAGGTGTTGGATTGTTTTATCGTGAACACAAAAGCAACATCGCGAACTGCCTACCCATCGCCGCTTTATTAAGTTATCTTTGGTAAGGATCACTTGCTTGTGAACAAACCACATAAACATTTTAATACGCAAGGGAACCTTAACTTTTCAAATGTGTAACGATCTTGGGATTGGGCCATAACTAATGAGTTCTAAGTAC